CTCTCTCTCTCTCTCTCTCTCTCTCTCTCTCTCTCTCACACACACACACACACACACACACACACACACACACACACACACAATCCGAGAAGATAGATATACCCCTGTGGTTATGACACCTAGTAACTCACCACTTGTGGTTTCACCCACACTCACGGTGCAGTTTTGTAAGCTGTGCTGGCTAGACTTCCTTTAATGGTGAACGGTGATGTGGAAGTGTAAGGCAAACCAACCCTCTCTGCCTCTAGTTGCTTTTGGTCCTGGTGCTTCATCACAGCAATAGTAACCCTGACTAGGACAGAAGTTTTATGCAATGTTCATCCAAATGAGGGCTTTCCTGTTCTTACTCATGCACATTTGATGAGGCTGCTGTTATCACCTCTTAGAGTCAGTATCGTTCCAAGTTGGTCCATCACCTTTAGTGTGTTCTTGCTGTGTTCCTCTGATGACACTGCATGGGGGTGTCTCATGTTGGCATGGCACCATTAGATACCATAGAGGAGTAAGGCTTGCTCAAAAGCATGCCGAGTGTCATCTTGGTGACCTCTTTTTGTTCTAAGGCAACCCTTGCTATGAAATTACTAGATTGCCTTTCTTCTGGTGACCTACATGTTTAACCAATTGATTGTATTTTGCATGAAAATCAGCACTCCTTTCCTGGTTTACTTTTGCTATCAGTATAATGCAAAAGCTATTTGCCTGAATTAGGTTGCATTTCATTAATCTTTTAAACATGAAATTGTAATGGTTCAAGGTTAATGAGATTTAAGAAGATGTGTTACCTAAATCATGACACATTTCAAAGATGCTTCTCAAAATTACTATTTTTAATATTGTGAAAGTACAAATTATATTTAAAGTTTGTAAACTTGGTCAAAATTTACTTACATTACTGAGTGTTTTTATATGTGAAGAATTCTGGGCATTTAAGAATGGAATTGGGGAATTCTAGATTAATGTATTCTCATTAGGGATATGATATTCATTAGGAAAGTAAACAGGAGTGAAGTACCAAGGAAATTCATGGGAAGGAGAGATTATTCTATTGACGAGGGTAGTGCACGGCTTCCTTTCATACCTAGCTCAACTGTATTGTCATCTCCTTCATTGATTCTATATTCATTGATTCAGTTATACATATTCAAAACCTTTAATGCATCAGACATGGTATTAGATACTGTGGATACAATATGGCTGCAGCGCTGTGAGTGCCATGCTGGAGGTATGCACAAAGTGCTATGGGGGTCAGGCGAGCAGATGATAGCTGCTGCCCGTCCAAGGTGATAGTGGGAAGTGTCAGGAACATCTTATAAGTAAAGCTTACCTATGCACTCAACTTGGATGATCTGAAGGTCAAATAATGGTTGGCTAAGTAGACAGGAAAAGGGAGTTTCAAAGTCATTGTTACAGGCTATATATTTGCATTTCAAAAACAACTCCTGTTGTCTTCAAAATAATTTAAATATCTCATTTATTTTTAACAGAGTCTTTGAACTAAGACAAAACCCTGAAAGTGATTTACCTGATCATAGACATTCAAGAAAACAAATTGTTAAAATGAAATAGTCAGATGGAGATTGTGACTGACAAGGGTCCATTTCAATGCAGCCATGTCATTTAAGGGAGAAACACTTTTTACTTCTACTGATTTTCATAATTATTGATTCTTATGTTAAGCTTTAACAATTCTTAGAGGTCAGAATGTAGGAGGGGAGTGAGCTCTCCTGAGAAATGTATCATGGAGAATAAATTCTTGTTTCTCTCCTTCCCCCAGATTTGGGGGTATTTACAGCCCACGAGATTATACTTGGTGCATGCACACATGTGGGGTGCACAAACAGCTCCCGAGTCATCCTGAAGACAGCACAGCTGCCTCCAGAACAAGTAGACCCCCCGACTTTGGCTGTCCTGGATTCTAGAACTATTCACATACAGTAAGTAGAGCTCTAGTATCCTGCACATGTTGGTTAGTGTAAGAATCCCAGTGCATTCATTCAGAAGGGCTTGTGACATCAGACTAATTGTATTGTGATTAAATGCATAGAAATGATTAGGCCAGTAGTTCTAGGAACCTCTGATTATCACTTGTCAACTTAATTTCCATTTTGTCTCTAGGCAATCACTCCAAGCTAAATGTGTGTGCAACTTCTGTGTGGTTGCCAGTAAAAGAAAAATGACCACCTACTTATACACTGTCAACTTCTTTATAGGTGGAGGGTATTTTGCAATAATTTGTAATGACTAGAATAATATATACATATATGTGTGTATATGTGCATATATTACTTCTTTTTTAAGATTTATTTTATTTGATATATGTGAGTCTTTGCCTCTGTGTGTGTGTGTGTACCATATATGCCAAGGAGGCTTTAAGAGGATCAAATTCCCCAAATTAGAGTTACCCAGGGTTGTGAGCCTCCATGTGGGTGCCAGTAAGCAAATCCAGATCCCTTAGAAGAGCACACAGCCTCATTCCCCTATAGTTCTAGTCAGAGAGGAATATAACATAAATATGTTTAGATTTTTTTCTGATATTAGTGACTTTTGTTTATTTCTCATTATATGAGATCTAAATGCCGAGTTAAAACTTAGCGCCAATTCATGCTTGCTCATTTTTGTTTCTTACTCCCAGTTTTCTCATCTATGAACAAAATGTTGACACTGAATAAATTCTGGCATGCATTCAAGCTGAAAAGCGTTACTGTTCATGCGGGTGTCGTCACTGTTCGGATTCTAAGCCCTTGTAATGGCCCTCAGTTGCTTTAAGACAAGCTGTGTTCTTTCTTATCAAAGATTCCCCATTTCACTGGGTATTTCTCGGCTGAGCTGTCTTCTATCTGTTCCGACATGAGACCTTCTCATCCCCTAAACACTGTAACCCTCATCTGAAGTGTCCATCATTCTTGATTCTACCGGTCCAACCCCCTTGATATGGATGTATAACTTCACAGGACCAAGAAGCCCAGCCCATTGCCCCAGCCCTTCTAGGTTTCCATGACTACACACTCATTCTGTGTTGGGTTGCTCAGTTTTTTAACATTGTCCTGTTCCTCTTCCTCTCAGATCCCTCAGCAGTACTCAGATACTACATATCTCTTACGTTTTGTCTGATATCCTAAACTCAAGATAAAAAAAAAAAAAACAAGTATGCACATTTGTATAGTATTAACTATTTTGAATTACAAGTAACTAGGGGTTGTGGCAACATCTCAGTAAGAACACTTACTGTTCAGTCATGAACACCTGAGTCCAAATCCCCAGAATCCACATTAAAAAAAAACTTGGTGTTGTCACACACACCTGTAACCCCAGCACTGATGAGACACAAGAGGGCGTTTGTTGCTTGCTGCTCAGCCAGCCTAGCTTCAGGTTCAGGGAGAGACCTTGTGTAGAGGGAGTAAGACCCAGAGGGATGGAACAGGAACTCTGATGTCATTCTCTGGCCTCTGTGTGTGAGCTGCTGCATAAGTATGTGCACAAATAATACAGAGAGAGGAGAGAGAGAGAGAGAGAGAGAGAGAGAGAGAGAGAGAGAGAGAGAGAGAGAGAGAGAGAGAGAGAGAGAGAACAAAATAATCAGTTATTAGAAGTCAAGGGCTATATGTCACATTTCCCTTAAGGTTCTTAGAATAGGTATTTTTTAACTGTATGTATATTTTTAAGAGACAAGCACTTTTGAGCTTTCCATGTAGGTTTTTTGAGGCAGGATGCATTGAAGTTTAACCAATCCTATATGTCTCTGTTTAGACATGAATGAATGACGTGCTGTATCTTTTGTTGATTCCCAGGTGGAAACAACCGAGGCAACTGAACGGAATTCTGGAGCACTACATATTATACACTTGGACTCCTAGACATAACTCCACAGTGTGGAACGTTGTCTACAACAGCACCAGAAACCTCCAGGCTTACCTGCTCCGGCACCTTTCCCCCGGGGGTCTATACCTCATCAAGCTGGGAGTAAGTCAATTCAGCTTCTATCATTTCTCTTTGTCCCAAACCAAATAAACAAACAAAATACCAAAAAGCTTCATCCATTAGTATTTCTACTGAAACTTTTCTCCACAGCCTAAAGGTGAAGTCTTTGGTTGATTACCTACATATTTATTATTGTGTTATTTGAAGGATAAAATAACCATATGAATTAGTGGATGTTCCTAGATCTATGTTGAGATGCTCAGAACTAATTTTTTTTGTTATTCATAGGACATTCTAATTGTCGAGAGCTTTTCCCAAAATACTTAGATTAATAAGGTGGTTGCCTGTGGTGCTTGTATTCATTTGAAAAACTCCTCACAGTATGAATTTAGAGCTTGTATTTTTAAATGAAGATTTAAATGACCCCAAGATAGTCTTGATTGTTATTATACTGTGATTTATATTAAACTTCTGTCTCAGAAGAGCAGTCACTTGATGAAACCCGAGAATCAACAGTTTAGTGGTCTCCTTGGGAAGATGGTGGCTTTTTTAATGCTAAATGGCACTTCTGTATATGAAGGTCTTTTAAAAGACCTTGATATTGCTGTGGAATTTGTACTCCGATTTTCTTTTGCTTTTTGATGAAATATAATCTTTTTTTAAGTTTAATAGCACATCTGAAAATAACTGAATATAAACATGAGGTTGTCCCTATTTGTTTTAAACACCCTCTTCATTTTATAGCAATACCTATATGAGGGTATTTGCTTTGATAAATGCCATAGAAAATATTCTGCTCTTGATTATGAATAAATTTACATTTATGTAGACACTGTGTACGCATTCATTTTACTTAACATGCTCGTGAATGCTCAAAATATTATACCATGAGAAAATAAACTGCATCCAACCGCTGTTAAGTGTCTGATTTGACAGCACAAAACAAGGGCGAGCAGGCAGACAATGTGAAAGCCTGTTCTGAAGGGCCCATGTGCCTCTCTGCTCAGCACAGCATGTGGATTTGGGAAATGACAGTTTGGGTTACTTCTAGTCACATTACTAAAAAGCTAAGAAAGTGTACTAACTCGATTTTCAAAAGCTAATAGTGAAGGCCACGCTGTTTTCAAAAGAGCTGTACACATGAAAACCATGAACAGTATCCCTTGCTTGGAAGCAACCAAGATTAAACAGAAATTCTTGAAATTTTAAGTTTTATCAGGAGGTAAGTGGCATAAAAATGTTCTGTTCCTAAGGCAATTTTTAGGATGTACTGTGCAGTCATTCAGAATCCATTTCAATATCCCGTACTTTATAATTTTGTTACAGTTGAAAACCAAGTGTAACTAACTTGGTGCTCTGTTCCCTGGAGTTTTAATTCGGGTTTTACTATCGTGTGACCCAAGGCAAGTGTACTAAGGCACATCAGCCTTCATTTTTTTCAGGACTAAACTCACGACATTGAACTTAATGGTTTTTAATGTCTTTTTGAGAGCCCTAAAATTCTGTGATGCTAAAAAGGTAACCCCAAATAATTACAATATATGCCAGGTCTTGAGTAATAGTGGTGTCAGAGGTCATAACGACATGGATGTCCTTGTGGCCTAAAGATTAATAAGGAGACAAACTTGCTCATGTTCTTTTTAATTCCACTGTATTTATCAGGGCAGGAAATATCCTAATGCATTTTCAAGAAGTATTTAGTGGGTTTTTTTTGTTGTTGCTTGTTTAGCTTTCTAACTTAACTCAGTTAAGCAGTAAGTTAAATGAACCATGGTATTTTAGGTTCATCCTGGTTAATTGAGGGATTATTGTATATTTCACAGTTTCAATATAATAACCAGCTCTCAAGGACATTAGATACATCATGGAGAGCAGGTGTTCCACTAAGTGTAGTTGCCTGTATGTATTGTCTTAGAGTGTTGACTAAGTGCTTGGAAACAAAGCACCCTGACAGGAAAGCCCTGAGTGGCCTTTGAAACAGAGGAAGATACTCCCCAGACACGGCACAGTAAAGCCACTCTGTGTCACTCATTTAATTTTTGTGTTAGACTGGATTATAAGCCTCTGAAACAGAGAAGTCGCGTCTTCCCAATTTCTCTGTGCAGAGCATTGACAGTACTGGCTGGAGACAAGGAACTACAAAGACAGTTGGTGCCAGAATGAGTGAATGACCACCAAACACTGTCATAAGCAGTCCGAGACTTTAAATATTTCTACATAATATCCTTTGGAAAGTCAGCATTGGAGATGTGTGCCTCCACAGGCCATGCTCTTTGGTGCAGTCTAGCTGTCTAATATGGTGGTATTTATTGTGAAGTTTTATAGGTCCCCATAAATGCAATAAATTAACAATTAGGAAAAGATGCAGGGGTTAAGGTTAATGTTTGAAAATGATAAAATACAGGCAGGGGTCAAATTTAGTATTTGAAAATGTTCATAGCAGTCTAGCCATTTGTCACTTGGTGAATGTTAAATAATGGAAATGGTGAGCTTGAAGTGTGTGTGTGTGTGTGTGTGTGTGTGTGTGTGTGTGTGTGTGTGTGTGTGTGTGTGATGAGTATGTGATTGTGTCTGTGTATTGGGGAAGGAGTGGCTGTGTGCACATGCATGTGGAAGCCAATGGTCAATATCAGCTGTCTTCTCTCACTCTTGACTCTTTTGAAACTGAGTCTGTCTCTGTCTTATGAGCTCAGAGCTCACTGACTGTCTAGACTGTCTGGGCAGCAAGCTCCCCAAAACACTAGGGTCACATGTGCACACCACCATGCCGTCTTTCTCTGTGGGTGCTGGAGGTCTGAACGCGGATCCTCTTGCTTGCACGGTGGGCACTTTAGCAGATGAGTTATCTCCTGAGCCCCAAGCTTAGCATCTCAGGAAAAGATTGGAATGTATGGATAAAGCAATTGTGAGGTGTTTTTTTTTTTCTTTTTTCATGCTTTTAAACACTCCCACAGCCGTCTTCAAACCCTTGGGCCCTGCTTGTCTGAAAACAAAATACTGGAAATAGAACGCTAGCTTTAGTAGTTCCTAATGGTCACTATTTCAGAGATTGTCGCGGTAATGAAATTACACATACATTTTAACAAGCCACACAAAGCCTCTTTAGATCAGAAGTTACCCATCTATTGGAGACACCAACACAACATTGTGAATTTTGTTTCTGAGGGTCTGTACTGATCTAAAAGCTGTAGGAAACAGGTCGAGGCTGCTAACTTTGCTACCTCACAGGCTTTCACAGTCCTTTCTGTTTTATGAAGATATCTTCAATCAATCCAGTTATTTATTTTCCTAAGTCAGAATTCCAATCAGTGTTAGACCAATCAGAGTTTCAGAAGAGCACTCTAAATGACCAAACTGAGATAAAGTTGCTGCTATTTCTCTTGTTTCAACAATTCCTTACACCCTGTCTCACTGGCCAGGAAGATAATCTCATGAATTCCCAAGGTGCTTCTTTGTCAGCCCACCAGTTTGCAGATTTCAGATGACAGAGTCCAGGGAAAAGCCCCCCAAAAGAGGATATTGCGTTTATTTTAGAAAAACAAAATCATCAAATTCTCAAAACAAAGTTGATTTTAGTTTACGTTCTATGTAACAACTGCAGCAGTATGTGTCCCGTAGCACGGTTTTTCTTCAGAGGGGGGGAACGAGGGAATGCTGTCACACGCATACAAATGAAAAAGAAAATCACAACAACCAAAATTAAAGCCCATTGTGTGATCCGTTCAACAAGAACACGCTGCCACATGCTTTGAATCTAAGGGGGGGAATCTGAAAATACAAGTGAATACATTCCCTCTCTTTGAGAAATGGGGTGTTCTTCTGACAACGTTTGCTTTGATAGCTCAGCTACCTCACATGGCCCTGCTTCCTGGATATTTTCTGAGACTGATAGCATGTAGGTTGCATGTACATGTTTTCGATTTCTCTTTAAATGTTCCATAGCTGGTTCTTGGGTCAGCAGTGGCATACCCTGAAGCATCAGGGGTTGGCCACATGGCTAGCAGTTTCTGCTTGGTTGATGAAAGCTACATCTTCAAGAGGACAAGAGTTTTTCTTGTACATGTATTTGCATGTTCTACATCCAAAAATTTAGAGAAAACCAGAGAGTTTAGTTAGGCCCCTACCTAATGAAATTGTGGCCCTGGGTGATGATGGCGCCCATCTGGAGCATCCTTTAGCTCATGAGGAATTAGTCTAAAGACACAGGCTACTGCTGTCTTCTCTCTCTCTCTCTCTCTGTCTCTCTCTGTCTCTCTGTCTCTCTGTCTCTGTCTCTCTCTCTCTCTCTCTCTCTCTCTCTCTCTCTCTCTCTCTCTCTCTCTGTGTGTGTGTGTGTGTATAAACAGGGCCACCTGGTTAGTTTTGAAATGGATTCTCCCACTGGTCTGGAGTTCTCTGATTGGGCTAAGCTGCCTGATCAGCAAACCTTGGGAATCCTTCATCTCTACTAATCCTGTAGCTCTGGGATTGCAAGCTTGAGCTACCACACCTAGCTGTCTTCTGTGGGTTCCCGAGATTGAGTGCGGATCCTTGTGTAAGCGCTTTTCCAACTGCACTATCTGCCAGCCCTTCCTACGGTGTTCGTAGGAAGCAAACGTCACTGTAAGTGGTTGGCTATCGACTGTTGTTTATTATCGTAATGAAAACTCTGTGACCAGTTATAACAATGTAGGAAACAGTTCCATGCTCCAATGTGAGGAGATATTTAACTAGCCTCCCCTCTTCTTCTGTCCTGGGAGAACGGACTCCCCAGTGCCTTAAGCAGCAGAGCAGATAGCTGGCAAAGCTGCCCAGGCCAAGGGACATCAACAGAAACAATGAGGTTCATAGTTCTAACTTCCATGAAAATGCTCTAAAAAGCTGTCTGGCTTTTGCACTGTTATACTTTCATATTTTGCTTTATTTAAGGCTTGACCTGGGTTGGATTTCATTTATGAACAATTTTTGAATTTTGTTGTCTCCATAGCAGTTGAGACTTGGAGGGCCAGTACTGAGGGAACCAAGTGCGGTTTTCTCATATTATTGTTTTATAAAATTGCAATTGGTTTTATTTGCTAATGAGACAACAATAACCCTGTGAGTGTGTCTCAATTTCCTAAAGAAATGATTGTTAAGTAACTTTGAAATCATTTACAGTTCATTATGAGACAACCCAATGTCTTGAAGGTCTGTGTTCTATTTCTGAAGTTAGATGCTATTTTCAGGATCATTTTTAGTTCTTCATCCATGTTTTAAGGGGATCCACGTCTTTTGACACAAAGTAACCCATTCAGCCCACTAAGCTATTAAACTTAGGTATTTTTTTTGTTGGTTGACTTAGAAATATTGCTTTATTTGATTTCTCATGATGTTGAAATATGAATGTGCAGGTTATACCGAAATGAATGCTCTGATTGGTTCTTATTCTTCACCCCATAATCTATAGCCAAAAAATTAAAAAAAATTCCCCAAAGTATTAAGTCCCTGATCTTTTTTTCTGATGTGGTGTGTTCTGTGTGTGTGTGCATGTGCTTACATGCGTGTGCACATGCATGCAAGTGTGTTTCCCCCTGAGACCTTCTGCACAGTGCCACCCTCCCCAGCAGTGCTTGCTCACGCAGTCCACATGCACCCTGCATCTCGAGGCCATGACTTAGGCTGGCTTTTCATGCGCCCCGGTTACTTTGTACTTCCTGGAGGTGAATTCTCATGAAAAGTAATCTAACTAAATGTCATACATACTTTAGCATGGGAGAAAACCTATTCGTGCGGGATGAAGGGAATATTATTTTAGCGGCATCCAGAACTCCTGCTCTGACTTGTCTCTCTTCACTGTTCATCTAAATTTGAGGGTCAGGACTGAGGTGTGTTCCTCTGTCCCGGCTTAGGCATGCACAGGCGGTGGCTGTGCCACCAGTGAGCCCAGCCAGGCCCTAATGGAGGAGACGGTTCCAGAAGACGTGCCAGCCCCCAGAGCCCACTCCTACTCACCAGACTCCTTTAACATCTCCTGGACTGAGCCTGGGTACCCGAATGGTGAGTGAACTCTTTTAGCCTGAAGTTAAAAACATGATTAGCAAAAGTAAATTAATATTCTAAATGGCAGCTTATGTGTGGTGCTTAATTTTTAATGACCGTTTTAGCACATAAAATACTGGGATAGTATCCTTGTAGTTAGGGAGAGTGAGCTTTTTCAGTTGACATGCAGTTTTGGTGGCTCAAAAGTGCTCCCTCTTGATGGCTCTTGTGTACTGCATGTCATTGTTTAGTGTGCACTAGGAGAGGGGACAGGGACAAATGGGGACTCTGGGAGAATGGAGCTGTGAGAGTGACATTGTCTTGAATGACTTTCCCTCTTCAGCAGCCATTAGTTCTTCCTTGGAGAAGTAAAGAGGTGGGAAGTTCATGTACACAGTGTGTTTCAATGCTTTTTAGTTAATAAGTTTATTTTAAAGGAAGTCACTCGGAACTCATATTCCTTAGGATGCTGTTTATAAATATTTCAACATGGAGATTTAAACAATGCATGCATTAAACATGCAGACATTTATACTTAACTTAAGCTGCATTGCATTCCTTCGTGATGTATGTGTCCTTGTCCTGTTTAGAGAGTTGAGCTATCCAGTTAACTAACATGAAAACAAAGCCTTATTATAAAGACATTTTAACAGGCTTTTTAAGACACTGATTTATTTATTCAGTTATTGGAATTATCTTTAAGAGTTGTTAAACACAGAATTCTTGTTAACTCTGGCGGAAGGAACAGGATAGCAAACCATGTCCCTCCTTGTGACAAGTATCAAAATGTATTAATATTACAGAAACTATTTTAAATAACTATTGCTGAAAACTGAAGTGGGCTTGGAAAGCATAACCAGAAAGAAGAAAACAAAAACCTAGTAGTTTTACCAGATTGTCTCGTGTTACCATTAATTAATTATTCTAACTATCTACATTAAACTTTTAGCAAATGCAATAGCTATATCTGAGGTAATAGAGAGAGTTCTGGTAATTAGAGTGAGTGATTTCCCCTGCCATTGAAACTACTCCTGTATGGTTACAACTTTCTTAATAAAGATAAGTGATGTCTCCTTTAATCCCAGCACTTGGGAGGCAGAGGCAGGCACATCTCTGTGAGTTCAAGGCCAAGGTGGGCTACAGAGTGAGTTTCAGGAAAAGTGAAAAGCTACACAGAGAAACCCTGTCTCAAAAAAACAAAAAAAAAAAAAGCAATGTCTATAGGATCTGATATTGAGCAGCCAAAAATCTTGTCACACTTCTAACTCACCCTAGAAATCTGTCTAGTCCATAGGTGTCAGTGAAATGTCACTACTTTGTTCTGATTAGATGGCTGCTAGTGGTTTGCATAGAATACTCCCTTCTTCCCAGTTGGTAATTGTCACTCAAATGTTTTCTGTCCTGTGTGCTCCTTGCTTGTCTAGAGAAACCTTTTCCTCATTTCCATGATCTTTGCTTGTTATATTCTGTGTATATGCAGAGTGTTTTTTTCATTTTTTTTGTTTGTTTGTTTTTTGTTTTTTTGTTTTTTTGTTTGTTTGTTTGTTTGTTTTTTTCGAGACAGGGATTCTTGGTGCAGTTTTGGTGCTGTCCTGGATCTCGCTCTGTAGACCAGGCTGGCCTCAAACTCACAGAGATCTGCCTGGCTCTGCCTCCCAAGTACTGGGATCAAAGGCGTGAGCCACTACTGCCCAGCACATAGCAGTTTTTAAATATACACAATAAGCAAGAAATAATGAATATTTTGCTGACACTTTTATAATAGTCTGATGTGTGTAATCACAGTAGAATTTTTCTACACTTTCATGGTGGAGCAACCATTAAGAGGCCATAGGAAAGGCTCAGGGGTAAAGATCATGTACTATATGTACTACTCTTCTAGAGGACCCCGGTTCATTTCCCAGCCCCAGCATTGGGCAGCTCACAGCCACCTGTAAGTCCAGCTCCAGGGGGTCTGACTCCCTCCTCTGGGTGCCAGAGGAACTTCACTCAAAGGCACATCACACACACACACACACACACACACACACACAGAGAGAGAGAGAGAGAGAGAGAGACTCACAGAGATACACACACACACACACACACACACACAATTAAAATCGATCTTCTAAGAGCTGTTTAAAGGACTACTTCTCGTGACTCTTCTTCCCTTTCTGTAAATTTGCCATTGTTTCATTTCTGTTGTTGGGTATGTGGAGAGGCATAATCTGGTTCCCCCAAACCATTCTGCCTGTCTGTTTTCAAAGGCCTTGCATTTCCCTTACATACCTGAAGAACAAACTCAGTATCTTGCAGTCTGGTGGTCAGATGACTTCTAAACTATGGTGGAACTCACCTGTATGCCACTTGTCACTTTATATCTTCATTTTCTTTTTCTCTTTTCTTTTTCTTTCTTTCTTTTTTTCCCCCTGGTTTGTCGAGACAGGGTTTCTCTGTGTTAACAGTCCTGGCTGTCCTAAAACTTGATTTGTAGGTCAGGCTGACCTTGAACTCACAGAGATCCACCTGCCTCTGCCTGCCGAGTGCTGAGATTAAAGGCGTGCGCCGCCGCCGCCGCCGCCGCCACCACCACCACCACCCAGCTGTATCTTCATTTTTGTGGCTTAATGTCCAGCCACACAACATGGGCTGTCTCTGAAGTAACTTGACTATCTTATGCTGGGCACTTATTGAATTCCTCAAGTGAAGGTCAGCATTCCTCCCCTGCCTTTCCCTGTAGAAACCTAACTTGTCCTTACAGGTTACCACAGGCATCTATGAAGCCATGGTGTCCTTGAGTTTAAGCCTTCCCAAGGCTCTTGACCACGTGATCTTTTCAGTGTCTTCCTCATGACACATGTCATTTGACCTAGACTCAATATTATTTAGTGGCCCTTCCAACACTCACACCAGATACAACAACAACAACAACAACAAAACCACCATTAGCCAACCGTTTATTTTCTGTAGAACACCTAACAAAAATGGCATGACTCCTGTTGGTGTCCAAAATTTAGTTTATGGAATTGTGTCTTGGGAAAGTTGCCCTTTATAGACTTTGCCTCATGCTAGTAAAGAAACACTTTGATCCGATGTTGAGTGATGTTTCTCAAACTTGCCTAATTACTGGAACCCTGTTGGTCAAATGATTTAAGAATTTGATTCTCAGACTCCACCCCAGGGGTTTTGACAAGTGATGGTGAGGATGCTAGTCAATGTTAATCAGCTCCCCAGCTGAGATTTCTCCTTGGGACACTGTGTTAGTTATTCTTGTCCTTATTACAACACAATACTTCATTAAAGCAACTTGTGGAAAGAAGGCTTTATTCTGGATCACAGTACAATGGAACAGCTCTTCATAGCAGCTAACAGAGTCATGGCAATGGGAACTTGAGGCAGTTGAAGATGAATGGCTATTCTCAGTTCCATTTCTCTTTTTATCTAGACTGGGACTCTAGCCCATATAAGAATACCACCCACAATTAGTGTGTTTCTTCCCATCTCAATTAATCCAATCTAGATAATTTCTCACAGCCGTGACCAGAGGCTACACTGATCTACATAAGTCCTCTTGAGCCCTGTGGATCTTCTTATAGGTGATTCCAGCTCCCATCATCTTAACAGTGAAAATGAGCCATCCCATCATACGGCTCTATCCCATCTGAAACTCAGCATGTCCAAGTTGGCTTTTTATCCTGTTCCTGTCTCTCATCCTGCTCTTTCCTTCATAACACATTCCTCACAATTGACATCACCCATGTGTACCAGCCCAAAACCTTGGCTGTTACCCATGATCACCCTTGACTTCATTGCACCTTCTGATTTCCCTTGCAGGAAAGTCAAATAGAATTTGAAGCATCTAGTTATATGCAAGTCAAGAAGAGAGAGAGAAGGAATGTATGATACTTGCTAGATGCAGCTCACTCTCTTCATTCAGTCAGGGCTTGGCCCATAAATAGTATCTCCCACATTCATGGCAGATCTTCCTATATCAATTAACCCAATTAAGAAAATCCCCTACAGGCCAATACAATCTACACAGTTCCTCAATGAGATTCTTTTCACAGGACATCAAGATTATGCCAAGTTGACAATTGAAACTAACCAACATACACACCAACCCAGTTGTAATCATGTGAGTAGGAATCTAGGCCTGTACTTGTTCCTGAAGACTTATACCAAGTACTATCAAGGAAACCAACATTATTGGAAGATCATATAATTGTTCAAATACATTCTTTTATCAATGTGGCAGAAAGATTGCTTAGGTATTGATCTTCCATACACACTGCTACAGTTCACATGGGCAGAGGGTGCTGTAAAACTGAAGTCTTATAATGGATGCACTGGTACACAGGTGAATACAATCTTTTTGTTCGTGTGTAGAAAGAAGTCTTGATTTCCTATCCCCTACTAACAGTAATAAGATTGGCTACAATTCATAACTATTTTCTAGGCACTTGGTTTACTTTCCTTTCTATTGCTGTGATAAAAATGCTCTGTCCAAAAGTAACTTAGGGGGAAAGGAGTTTATTTGGCTTATAAATAAGCCCACCAGGGTCCATCACTGAGAAAGTTGGGAACTCTAGCAGGATCTTGAAACAGAAACTATGGAGGAAAGCTTACCCAGGCTCATGCTTATCTAGCTTTCTTATATAGCCCAAGACCACCTACCTAGGGAATGGTGTCACTCACAGTGGGCTGAGTTCTTATACATCATTTGACAGTCAAAACAAGCACTCACAAGATGTGCCCATGGGCCACTCCAGTCAGGTCGAACCCGCAGTTAAGACTCTCTTCTCTGGTGACTCCATACTATGTCAAGTTGACAGTTAAAGCTAACTATGATTGTACTTTAATTCCCCAAATTAGCCCATGAAATTTATAATATCCCCATGTACAGATGTAGAAAATTGGATTAATAATAATTAATTTAATTACTCAAAGTCAAGACAGCTAATTAATGAGGAATGGGGTTTGAAAAAATCTGTAAATGCAAAAATTCGTGATTTTATTCCTTATTCTGCTTCTAGCTC